AATTTTTTTTGTAGTTTATTGCACTTTTTTGCAATTTATGTAATTTCTATGCACTTAATGCATACATATTATTAAAGGGTGGGCTATTATGGTTGTATTGATGTATATCAACTTGAAAGGCTCCCAAAAATGGCACTACAGCATGTAAAAATGTAATATAAGCTCTGGGGGACTTGGTTCTGTGGTAGGTCTTAAATGGTTAAAGAAATATCCACACACCACGACCAAGGGGGTCGTTCCCCGTACACATGGAATATGTAACAGTGTAGAGACATAGTCTTCATATGCTAGAGAACTGACAGTTGTGCAGAAAATGTCACGGTCTGCAGAGACAGGCTGTGCGGTGGTGTGTGTAATGGACCCAGGTGCGTACACACGAGAGGAGACTGGAGTGAACTTAACTGAAAGCGAGCCTTTATTATGGCTGAAGACAAAGTGTACAAACAAAGCAGGGATAGCGTGACTAGACTATAACTAAACTAACCCTAACCCTAAATAAATACAAAGGATACATAAAACTCAAACACTGGGTCGCTCGACCCAGGACCATGACACCACCCCCCCTCCAAGGGCAGGCTCCAGACAGCCCCAAACCAAAAAAACGGACCACCGAGCCCGGGCGGGCGGCGGGGGACCAGGACGGAGGGCCCAGAACAGGAAACAAAACAGCCGACAGGAAACACTGGAGCACATGACAAAAGTCCAAACAAAGTTCAGGGGGTCGGCCTGGAGGGCGGCAACACAACAGGCCACGCCATCTGCACGGCCACCATCAAGAGGCCGGCCGTGCAGAAGGCAGCAGCGGTGCAGTTCAGGAGGCCGACCCGGAGCTTGTAGGCACAAGAGTTCATAGGTCAAATGGTCGGGGGGCCGACCAGGTGGGTGGCACAGGTGATAGAGCTGGTCCGGAGGCCAGCCGTGCGGAAGGCAACGGCGGCGATGACGTAGAGACAGGTCAGGGGGCCGACCGTGCGGAAGGCAACGGCGGCGACTCAGGTGAAGGCGGTCTGGGGGCCGACCACGACGGCGATGACGTCCGGCTAGAGGCCCAGAAACCGGCCAACAATGCCGAGGTGCTGGATGTACTTTGGACGGGGGTGTAACAATCACTGGACCAGGCGTGGAGGACGAAGGCTCGGAGGCCGGACCAGGCGTGGCAGAAGCAGAGGCCGCGGCTGGACCAGGCGACGCAGAAGTAGATGGTGGCTGGACGGGCTCCTCGGGCCCTCCAGCTGACGTGGCATGAGGCTGGTGTGGTTCTCCCGAACCACCAGCTGACAAGGAAGGCTGCTGGACGGGCTCCCCGGGCCCTCCAGCTGACGTGGCATGAGACTGAACGGGCCCCTCGGGCCCTCCAGTGGAGACAGGAGGCTGAACGGGCCCTTCGGGCCCTCCAGCGGAGACAGGAGGCTGGACGGGCCCCTCGGGCCCTCCAGCGGAGACAGGAGGCTGGACGGGCCCCCCGGACCCTCCAGCTGACGTGGCGTGAAGTGGTGTGGCTGCTGCAGGGTGCCGGATAGGCACACCCGAGCATCCAGCAGCAGGCGCAGGATGAACAGTCATGGAGGCCCCTGACTGGACAGGGAGCTGAGCTGAGCTGCTAACTGGACAGGGAGCTGAGCTGCTAACTGGGGTAAAGGCTGAGGCAACACAGGCTGTTGAGGCATAATCCCACAGAGAGAGAGAGCAGGTGGAAAACAGTCTATAGGGCTTACTATCTTAGCACAGGAGTCCATGAAGTGAGCAGTGTTAATGACCACCAGTTCAGAGCCAGCAATCTTTAGGTTCTCAGAGTCTGCATCAGTTGTAAGTGGCTTAAAGGCTAATGGCCCAGTCTCTGTAGTCACAGGAGGAGTCAACATAAGCTGGTTGGACTTAATCAATGGTAGTGTAAGGCTTAGAGGGGCTGGTTTAACCATATGAAAAAGAGCACAGAGCACAGCGAGCTGAAATCTAAGAAACAGACTCTCCTTCACTTCCTACGAGACAGAGAAGCTCTTCTACCCCTCTATATGGGAGGAAACAGGACTGGACAACCGTGAATAGGAAGGTTAACAACACACTTCCAAAACAACTGAATGTGAAACTGCACAACAGATTTGCTCCACTATCAAAGGACCCTGGATCTATATCGGACAACCATCCATCTAAAAGTACCGAATTAAGGTCTGAAAATCTGTTGAAAAGTAAAAGGCCACAGGGAAAGCTAAAGGCTAGGCCTGAAACTCTGATTGTGGGTGACTCTGCCGTAAAGGCTGTACAAAGGATGTGCAGTAAGAACACTAAAGTCCTCTGCTTTCCTAAGGATATGGTCAAGAACCTGAAGGAGAGAATTCTTCAAATTGCAGATGAATATCCAACTGTGACAAACATTGTTTTGCATACAGGATCAAAGGATGTATCCCAACAACAGTCGGAGGTTCTGAATGCAGCTGTATTCATCAGTGGACCTGTACCACCGGTCAGAGGAGGAGACGAGAGATTCAGCAGGTTGTTTGCACTGAATAAATGGCTCATATCAGCATGTACTGACCACTCAGTGCATTTTATCAACAATTTTAATATTTTTTGGGAATGTAGGCATCTGTTTAAAGCAAATGGATTTAATTTTAACAAGTCAGGGGTGAAACTCTTCACCTCCAACTTGATTTATTCCATACGTCATCCATCTGTGCTTGGTGCCAAGGCTGAGATAAACGAGGAGTTATCTCATAAAGAGGAACAAACAGTACACCGAGAACAGACAAAGCCCAGCAGAAACCTTGAGGAGGAGCCTCATCTTCCCCCACCCAGGAAGAGCCTTAGAAAGGAGAGACATCTGAGGCAAGAAGAGGGGTCCCTATTTGCCTCCAACTCTCTCAACAGCACCAACGACCAGGACCAGGGACTACGACCTTCCCCTGTCCCCCAAACCCCTGACAGGCCATCACCCTCCTCCCCTTCCCTTTCTCCTTCCTCCCCACACCTGAAATTCACTGAGGAGATGATGGAGCGGGTCAATGCTGGGCTCAGATCTACCCCCCGGCCCAATCCCTTTTTGTCCCCCATAAACCCCCCACCAAAGCAGCCAAAGGTTCACCATCGAGCCCTGCCCTCAACAGAGCAATCGAAGTTACATTGCCCAGCCTCGCCCCCCTTAGTTCCTCCTTACCACCTTCATGCTCTGTCTCCGCAGTCTGATGAGTGGAGAGTCCGGGCTGCGAGGACCCAAACTTAAATTTTAACTACTGATTTTATCTACTGTTCTGATTTTACCTACTGTTTTTTTAATCAATTTTAAATCATGCTTTTTATTTGTTTTTGTTTTTTTAATGTCTTTGTAAAACAATTTGAATCACCTTGTTGTTAAATTGTGCTATATAAATAAACTTGCCTTGCCTTGCCTTCTTGACAATCAAAGCCTGCTGTCTCATCATTTTTCTTTCCTTCTCTGTGGGGATTTCTCCAAAACACATGTTGATCACAGTTATTGACAGTCTGGTATCAAAAACAGCTTTGTTTGGAATTGTGCCACTTTTTCTGTATCGCTATTCCACATAATAACATTAGGAGATGCTGAAGACAGGACACGGCGAAGGGAACAGACGTGAAATCAAACAAGAACCAAAAACTAGAAACAAAACTCAGAGCCTCTCAAAAACTGAACAAAAGTACTTCATAGTTCAAAAGAATGATAAACAAATCCTGACAACTTAAAAACCTGGGTCACAATCTAAACCTCAGAACATGAAATAACCCAGAATCAAACACTGGGTCAAAAACCCAGAACCATGACTGTTTGAGTTTTACCCAAAAGTGGGGATATATTTTACTCATTATCAATCACTCACTAACATATTGAAACATATTTTAAACAGTTTCAGTATTTTGGCAGTATTGTTACTGTTAAAGATTCACTTTAGTACTTTAAATCTGAACACAGTCTCACATTATGTCTGTGAAGGTTCTCAGTCATCCAGGTCATCATAGTGTAAGGAGCTTGGAAAGAAAAGCGTCTGGACTTCTTTGAGCTGCTTGAAGACATTTCACCTCTCATCCGAGAAGCTTCTTCAGTTCTAAGGGTCAAATTATGACCTACACCCGCTTTCACACCTTGGCTCATGTGATTAGGTAGAGGATCATCAGGGGGTCCTTTGTCCCTCTTTTGGGGGAAACTCCCACTGGGTTTAAATCTGGGACTCTCCACCATTTGACCCTCAGAACTGAAGAAGCTTCTCGGATGAGAGGTGAAACGTCTTCAAGCAGCTCAAAGAAGTCCAGACGCTTTTCTTTCCAAACTCTTTAGACCGTCTCACACTGATGCAGTAGTGAGTGGATATCTGCTCAGTCTGTCATGAGTCACAGCACGTCAGCAGCCTCTGTGTGAATCTGCTGATGTATGTGCTCTCAGCAGGCTTATCCCACACCTGTATTAATACTAGATGTCACCTGTAAGGGACAAAGAGCTCAGTTTTAACAGAAAATCCCTTTGATCATTTTCCATCATCTGTTCCTGCAGGTACAGTTTAACAACAGCAGATGGTGCAGTTCCACTGTTCAATCGACTTTAATGTGAACCTTTTTAATGATGAGACACATTCACTCAGTGCGCACAGGTAAACACTTCTGTTATAAACATAACTGAGAGGATCCAGCAGAGTTTGTGATTATTGGTCTCCCATAATAGCTACCTGTGTGAGGAATCTGCTGAATAAACATGACGTGTTGGAAGGGAGGAGACTAGAACCTGGTTATAAAGCATGGCTGAGGTGGAACATCACACTTCACAGTGTGTTTCAACTGCTTGAAACTGACGAACATGGACAGTGAATTTGTTGTTCTCGGTAAGTAAATTTATTATTTATATATTATATTATATATCAATTATATAATCTATATATTATTTTAGTGAGTAAATACATTTTGTTAAAAAAAAGTTCAGCTTCACATTAACTTTGGATTTGGAAAAAAAGGTTAAGACCCATCTGTTTTTGATGCAAGTTTCTATGATTACCTCGGTCTGTTTTGTGAAGTACTTAATATATAGTCAGCCTACAAGTATTAGAATGGACTGACTGATGTTCCTGAAAATCTATAAGAAAAACTGCATTTTTTGCCTCATATTAAAGTCTTTCAAGAAGACAGAGTACTGCTAAATTTAATATCTGCCTTAGTTAAGATTCCATATATATCTTACTTGAACCTTATCTGAAATGACTGTCCTTGAGGTTATTTATTTATTTTTGACTTTAAGAAAATGTTTTCTTTAAAAAAGTTATTTTAATATATAAATAAATTGAGTTTTTTGACAGATGTTTGCTGTTAAACTATTGCAACATTGCAGTTTCTAAAATGGAAACCAATGAGCAGTTCATTTTCAAGTACCATTGTTTTATCTTCTTTGAGTGTTTATGTTTATTATTACTGATCAATAATAAGAATAAAGTATTTTTTGATTACTCAATTAACCAATGGAAAAAGTGATAGAATACTCCATTACTGAAATAATCAACACTGCAGTCCTACTGTAAACACACACACACACACACACA